CCCGCCATGTTTCCCCGTTCTTTCCATAACCAATCTCTCTACCCACCCTCCCCGTCACATCAACATCTCACTAAATCTCGCTGGGCGGCTGTCCCCCAGCGATCTCACCTGGTTTATGTCCGCATCCATTAACAACCCGTCACCCATCATTCCTAGAGCACCTGCACTCTCCCATTGTTGGGTTTCTTCGTTCATCTTGTTTGCCGGACCTCCTCCGTTCTCTCCCTCCTCCCTTCGTACCATGCCCTCACCGGCCCCGTCACGTCGTCGAATCCGGTCCATTAACTCGACCCCTGCGGCACTCTTTCGGAAAAACCGCCATTTATCCTTCAATTCTACATTTGTCCTGCACAACCCGACAAATCACAAACAGGTTGAAAGAAGAACAATCCACCACCGTGGCAACCGAGTTCTCAGCTTCTCCCTCTCACCATGGAGCGCGGTTCCAAACCCGTTTCGGGAGCGCGCTGCTCCCCACAAACCGAAAGCAGCCATCAACTGGAACTCAGGCACAAAGAAAGAATCTCGATTTCGAGGATGCTCCTATCATCCCGGGAACGGAAGCATTGCACACCAATATTTCCTTCAGCATTTTCAGAAAGAGAAGAAAATATGACCACCCTAACCCCCTTTACATAATAACCCAGCAACAGACAGAGCACGCTGACACAGACAACAATCGCCGATCGGCATCCCAACCATGCAGCACAAGGAACATAGAAATGAACTAAAAGTAGAAAAGAAAAAGAAAAAATCCATAAAACTGAAGATGACCTACAGTCTTCTGCCGGAAAAAAAGAGCCACTCAGATAAAGCACACATACTTTCCGTCCCCGAAAAGCCGATGCAATGACTGCATACAAGCCGTCTTCGCAGCAAACTAGCGCCATTATGACGGTGCAGCGTGTTCGGTGGAAGACGGTAGTTCCAGATGATCACATTGACTGGAATTCTTTGGAAAATAACAGCGATCCCAACTGTATGATTCCGACACAGAATCTTCTTTCAAATCATTTCTGGTCCCGTACCATGCATTTCCGGTCCCATACCATGGACAACTGGGTAACCCACCCGTTCCAATATGCGTCCCGTATCAGAGACTCCAGCAGGTTGTGCAGTAGGTTCCACTGCAAAAGAATTGCTCGCTGTTGGATCATCCAAGGAATTAACCGGACGACCAGTACTCGGCGCCCGGCAACTCGAGAAACACGATTGTCTCAATTTGAAAGGTTTGAATGCTCAGGGCATCCGGACCACAATGGTTGGCAGCACCAGCCAAAACAAAAACAAAAAAGCCACGCTGGCGTTTCCACAAAGCGGGGCAGGTTGTGCAGCAGGTTCCACTGGAAAAGAATTGCTCGCTGTTGGATAATCCAAGGCATTAAGCGGATGACCAGTACTCGGCGCCAGGCAGCTCGAGAAACACGATTGTCTCAATTTGAAAGGTTTGAATGCTCAGGGCATCCGGACCACAATGGCTGGCAGCAGCAGCCAAAACAAAAACAAAAACACCACGCTGGCGTTTCCACAAAGCGGGGCGCACAGGGGGCTTCCACCTCGTACAAAAGAGGCTCGGATGTACCAGTGGTTTAAGGCAACAAGGTCAGAACCACTGGTTTTCAGTGTGGCTTGGTTTCATTGCTTCTAGCGTAGCAGGATGATGTTCATTTAGCTTCTCAATGTTCATTGCTTCTAGTGTACCAGGATGATGCTCATTTTACTTCTCAATAGTACAGACAAGAGCACAAACAAACTCAATGGAAACGGCACAAAGTTCGGCGGCACCACGTCTCTTCTCTTCACATGCCAACAAGGACAAAGAAATGGTGAATGCTGGCCCACGTACGGGGCACCGCCTTCAAGGCGGCAGAGCGCCATGGGGAGAAGCTCTCATTGATCCATGGATTTCCTTTTTCTTTTTCAATTTGGACCATTTCTCGATTTATGCGTGTCATCCTTGAAAGCGCAGGGGCGATGCTAATCATATCTGCATCATTCCAATCCTCACGGATGACCTGAAGGTCAGGTCCGTTCCAATCTTCACGGATGACCTGAAGGTCAGGTCCACGGATTTCCCATCGGAAAAAGTGCCAACGACATCGGACTTGCAGAGTTTCACTGTGCTGGGACGGGCGTGGTCACCCATCCAAACAGCTCCAATTACAGAAGGTAAACAGTAAAAAGGACATGGAAAAAAAAATCCTCTTTAAATCGGAGAAAAATTATAAGCATACACTTCTTGTCATCTTACACATGTGGTAAGTAGTGCAGCAAGGGCCAAACACCACGCGAAACACGAAGGGCACACTTCGCAGCAAGTATAAGACGACTCACCGACTCTTCAGAGTCTGAGACAATCGCGCATCATTCAGGATGTTCCGCCAGCATCCTTCACCATATAACTTTACACCTTCACATAACGCTGCAAGCTAGACCGAGCATGCCCCCAACCCAAACAATCGGCAGCGCATAGCACACCACACCCGCAAAAGTCAGACTTCTATACGATGATATTATTGACATGTACGAATACACAAAACAATCGCAATAACGGCTCCAGAATCCAGATACAACAACAAACACAAACTCTATACTTGTCCAGACACCATGCCGATCTTTGAAGGGGAAAAAAAAACGGCGACAGCCTTGCAATACCATCGCTGAACTGACTGGCCCTGGGTAATTCAGAATTACTTTTTTCTGTTCATCTGATTGCATCTGGACTCGAACTTGGGTCTGTACTTCAACAGATCATTTGTGTACTGACTGGGAGAGGACTGTTGGTTGGTGCTTAGGAACTTCAGAAAGCTCAACTACCCTTGCTGCAAATTTTCACCCTTGATAGAGAGCTTTGCTTTGCCATCAAAGGGAGGAAAGGTTTGGGCAGACACAGACATTGCAAACGCCTCTCCAACTGACAGGTAAGGACTCAAAACCTCGCCCAATGTCAACCACCACTACTACCTTTTCCGTACATTGGCCACGGGTAGGGTCCCCACTCGCTTCGAAGGCCAAAAGGAAACGGCAGCTGCCGACGAAATATTTATCAATGCTGGCCGTCGTTGGGCCCTATCCCGGAAGAATGCACTATAGGTTACATTCCCACTTTTCCCAACACTGTGAAAGGTAGTGGCGGTTTAAGAAAAGTGGTAGACTTTACTCACATCAAACCAACCCTGCAATCCTCGCTTACCGAGTGGTCGCAAAGCCCGATGACCTTATCATCATAGCAGTGAAACCCACACTATATACCCAGTGGTACGGTGAAGCAGTTCGCCGTATCATCATAGCCGTAAACTAATGGCATGACCGCTTTTGTGTGCGTGTGTTTTAAAAAAAAAACAGACTCTCTCTCTCTCTCTCTCATTCCATCGACAAATCATCAGAAACCATCCATAAAACGAAAACAGTATAGATATGCAAGTATGGTATAAGATGAAAGGTTCGCCTGTGGTTAAGCACCAAGTGCACATACACCCGTCGACTTTGAAGTGGCACCCTTGCACAAATATGGAAACATATATATCATAGCCCATTAAAGAACGGACGGCCGGCGAAAGGCAACATACTTAACAAACGGTAATCACACAGAATGCAAAAAATTAATTGCACCACACGGTCCACAACCCAAAAAGCTCCACTAACAAGAAAAACACTGACCACGCTTGCAATTGTTCTGAGGAAAAACTTGGAGAGCCCTCTAAGTCGTCCCACAAAGCCATCGTAAATCAAACAAACAGCACAGGACCTCAACTCAACACCACGAGCGCCATGAACCCCCCCCAGCCGAGCAATCTGCAGAATTACGGGAAGACGCCAACGACTCCAGCGAGTCCACTGCGCAAACTATACCAAACACCACAAGATCTCCATCCAACATCAGAAGCGCCGCTGCTTAAGACATCCTAGAAGCCCCCATTTCTTCCATGTGCTCCAAAAAAGCAGCCCGTGGCAATGACACCCACAGCAAACACTCTCCGAGCCTGCTTGCAAAGATACCGTGGCCAGAATTCCACACATACATATCCCCCGCCGCCCCCACCACCACCACACACACACACAAGAAAAACTCATGGCCACCCGCAGACATTCCTTCACAAAAAACGACAGCCCATACTCCGATGCAGGCAAAAGAATTAAGCCATGTCACTCGTGTAAATAAACAAACAACCACGCACACACACACACAAGAAAAACTCATGGCCACCCGCAGACATTCTTTCACAAAAAACGACAGCCCATACTCCGACGCAGGCAAAAGAATTAGGCCATGTCACTCGTGTAAATAAACAAACAACCACGCACGTGTGTGTGGGTCTGTAAATCACCCACCAACTTATGCCATCCTCATCCAATTATCGCAACATTGAGAATTGCACACACCACGGCACGTTGATGTGTTTGAAAGATAGACAGCCATAAAGACAGGCACACATCAAGTCACGCTTGAATCAGGGCCCTCTCCAAGTCAACCTTCACCAGATAATCAGCTACAGCACCCACTCTGCACCCACTCTCTCGTTCGTATTTTTTTTTCCCCATCGTGCTTTCTCTTACAGCTTGCCAGTGCTCGGTTTTCCACAGGCAGAACACTTCGCTTGTATTCTTTTCCCATCGCTAATCTAGCGAAATAGAGCCGAGTAGAGAGTGCACATGATCGGACAAAGCAGGGTTTCGTCGTTCTTTGTGTATGCCAGCTCAACCTCACCTCTTCGTCCGTCCACTGATTTTTCTTCTTCTTCCATCCACTCCCAGCCTCCGCGGGGGCCTGCCCATTTGGCACCGGCGAGGACTGGATCACCAGCACCCAGCAGATTCACAGCAGCAAAATAGAAAAGGACGGACGTCAGAAGAAGAAAAAAACAGAGGAAAAAGGGAATTACCCGGCCGACTTGGCTGAATGGTACATAGTTGTTAACAGCTGATGGAAGTGAGACGGACACGGAAACAATTTGGACTACCATGATAGTACCATGACTAAAAAACAGGAGAAGAGGACACTTCGCAGTCAGGAAAAGCACATTGGAATCGGTGGTACACGAAGATGACAAGATCTCGCTTCTTTTTCCTTTTTGTCTTTTTTTATGTAACCCCCCTCAGAAGAACCCCATCCACCCTTTTCCTCCAATCAAGTACCCCGCCCACCTCCACCCCCTCTGTCCTCTACCTAAGTGTGGACCTCCCAGGATCATCACCCATCGCTTCGGCACAAATAAGCCACACACATAACGCAGACACACCCACATTGATCAGCTGTTCCCCCACCCACGACCCAAGAAACTTTCCGCTCCACAATGCACGGACGAGCTTAGCAACAAGAGAACCATACCTTCATTTTCAAAACAAAAAGCAGTCCTATAACAAAAAGTAACTTCATTTTCATACCAAAAAGAAAAGCAGGCCTATAACAAAAAGAGCCATTTCCAGGTGCAGCTACATTCCATGTCCACCTGCTCCAAGATCCATTGCCCTGCCGTTGTCCACGTGTCCTGAACACCCCACCCCCCTGACACCCCACTCCCATTTCCCCTCCTTTTTCTATTTTTTGAGGGACGACAGACTTCAGATATCATCATTAGACTGATCAGCCCCACGTCTGATTGTATGTGGATTCAACCCCCCCCCCCCCCCCCCCCCTTTCTTTGACCCCCCCCTCCCATTTCCACTCCTTTTTCTATTTTTTGAGGGACGACGGACTTGAGATATCATCATTGGACTGATCAGCCCCAGATAATTCAGAATGATTTAAATCTGATTGTATGTGGATTCAAACTTGCCCGTCAGTGCCCCTTCCTATTCCTTTTCTCCCCCAACACGTCCTTCTCACCTACCCCTCTGCCTCCAACTTCTTTCCTGCCCCCTCCGTTCCCTTTTCCTCCCAACGCACCACCCTCACCTCCTCCCCTGCCTCTGACATTCCCTTCACCCCTCTCCTGCCTCTCACATCCCCTTCAGCCCTCTCGCCCCCTTCCACAACGCTTCTCTACGCCCCATTTACACCTTGCAGCCTCTGCCGGGTGAACAATCACTCGTTAAAGCTAAAGACTCGATTTGGATAAATTGGGCCGATTGCGGATCCCAACAAGAACGGAATTCAGACAACTGGACAGCTCATGGCACTTCATGCCCCATTTTGTACCCTTCTCATTTTCATGAGATAATGTGGTCCTGTCTGCACATGCCCACTTCCCACGCCATACATTCCTGGTGGCTTGAATGCGGTAGTGGTAGCCACACCTCCCAAGATATATTCACAGACAATTCCCAGCCCTTGCGAACAAGAAAAAACGAGGAAAACGAAGAAAATAAAAGACTCGAGAGACCAGTGCGACGGATATCACTGTTGCTGCCAAGAAAAGAAGGAGAACAAAAAAAACATGTCACTATTGCTGCAACAGAACTACCCACCTGGTGGTGAAGTAGAGCAATAGGAGGGGCCATTGCACCCATGGGATTCATAGGTGGAGCTGTGGAATAGGACTCCTTCATGACTGTATTTTCAGAGTCTCCGTTCCTGGGTATGTACATCCCTGACTGGTCACCTTCCAGTGGCTCAGCCAGTCCATTGAATCCCTGCATGTCGCACTCCATCCGCGGGACTAAGACCCCTGGCGCTGCCATCCCCACACACATTTGCGCACCCATAAATGCGTGGGGAGGAACTGATTGCATTTGCTCGGCCATCCCGTTAGCCGAAAAGAACTGCTCGCGGAGTGCCTCCATGGCTTTATACTGCTTTGTCTTCCTGAAGAATCGCCACTTGTCCTTCAGATCAAAATTTGTTCTGAAAACAGACACACACACGCCAACACACAAAGCGCATATGATAATCTTCTCCGACAGCCATCAACACGCGGCAGACATTGTTACAAACAGAGCCCAGACTTATTCTTTTTACGACGCTCGCAGACCTTTGGACATGACAAAGCGCACGCAGCTCTCAAGTGTTAGGTCTATGCTAGACGAGGCGGCGGCAAGGCCCGCCACACGAATCTGGACTACGATTCACATCGAGTCTGACTGAGACTGGATCGACTTTTTGTGCCATTATTTGTTTGTCTTTTTTTGTTTCGTTTTTGTTTTCAAAGTTTTACGTGTAGAAGCAAATTCTCCAAATTTATGAGCAACCATATCTGTAATCTGTAAACCAACAAAACATTTTCCACTATAAACTTGTGCATAGGAACCGACAAATTTAGGCAAAATACAAGATCTGCGTGACCATTTTTCTCCAACTCTGGCGAGCCACACACTGTAACTAAATCTAGTATTTACAAAATCTAGAAAAACTCGAGGCCACCGCCCACGACTACCATCCATCAAACGCCCCTCAAAACAATGCCATTTACTCTGCGCACTCTCACTGGCTATGGCTGCACCCCATTCTTTTTTTGTTTTAACAATATATCCATCTCTCCATTCATCCTGATGTCTTGGTATTCCACGAGGATCGGGCCTAACCCCAGCTGAGGGATGGAAGCGACGAACGGATAGCCGCTACCAAGGCCAACCAGGAGGCTGGAGGCGGGGCAAGCCGCTAACCCAGCTGCTAACCCCGCAGCACGCCGCAGGAGACCGCGGGGTGTTCGAATGGAAGACCTGGAAAATCTACACTGGGTGACGCTTGCCATAAGGTTGATTGATAGTGATACAACCGTCATTTACTTAGGCTTCCATTCCACTTGAATCTTACCGCATTGCTATTTTCGAAGTTCCGCGCATCGGCGGCCATAACTTTCGACTCTACAAATTGCATTACCACTTGGCAGAGTCCTGTGTCTTTAATCAACAGTTTGTTTTTTGTTTCGTTCTCTTCCCGAGCCTTGTGTCTGACTTGTATGCACGTGCAGTTGTTCGTAAACAGATAATACGCAGTTGGAACTACGCCTTTCTTTCAGGGGGGGGGAAAAAAAAAAAAAAAAAAAAAAGACTCACCTTGATTTAAGAACAGATGCAAATCTTGGATCCTGCAAGATTCTCTTCCACTGACCCTCCCCGTGCATCCTCACCCCATCACACAGAGCACTAATCTGCAAAGAACCCATTGCAGTGTCAGCAGAGTTTACCAAGTCTATTGGTTTGGCCCAACTTCAACCACCAAATCCATAAAGGCCTTCCCAACCCCACACCCAACAACATAGACAATCAAAGTCTGGTTGACATTGAAAGGGCTTCCTGATGAACAAGCATGCGCACACACAAACACACACAAACAGACCGTGCTACTTCGTGTGGTTGGCCCTGTCTGATCGAGTTTTGTGGTCGTGATTCACTAAGTCGCCAGACTTACTGAAGTTGGTCTCAGCCCTTTGATGTAGACAGGCTGATCGCATTGCAGGGTTTCTGTGAGTTAAGTTAACCAATTTCCTCAACGGTATCCGCACTTCAGACAAGTAGGGAAGTCCTTATTACTGCTTACCCATGAGCAAAATGCATCCCGGGACCACTAGGCAGCTTCAACCTACTGACGAGTCCGCAAAAGTCAGACAAAATAACCTTTAACAGTCACCATGTTGTGTGAAGCTGTGTCTAGCGATTACAAGGGAAAGAGAAAATTGCTGACTCCCACAAACTGAGGATCGCTAACCGACAGAGAACAGCACAACCAACATCCTTTTCTTTTTTTTGAAAAAAACTAGGCTATATACTTCTCTCAATTACACGTCATGCTACCTACCAACATGACTAAGCACAGCAACCCATGTCCAGGCACAGCCAACATCCGCTAGACCTACATAGGAGCCAACCCCCAGCAAGGAATGGCAGGGGCAAAGGCCATCCGAGAGAACCCAGGACCCGGCCAAGGCTGACCGGGGGGGCAAGCCAACTATCTCAGCTCATGAACCCCAACCACGCCGCAGGCAGCCGTGGGGGACTGAACACACAATCTCCTGTATGCCACCTGTGTGCGAAGCCAACTGTTTCTTCTATTTTTAGACCCTTTCCCATTTATGTATTTCATCCCTGCACAGGCACCATGGTAATCTTCACCATATCGTCCCCCAGTTTTAATCCTTGCGCAGACGCCAGCTGATCTTTACCTTATCATTCCCGTTCTAACCAATGTCCTTAGCAATGTCCTTAACGACGTACAATGGACGTCCTGAGACGACCCCTCCACGAAACAGAAGCGGCTCAAACCCTGCTCGAGACACTAACTCCAACAGCCAGGACCAAACCATACCAAAAAAAGAACATGAAAAAAACGAATTGATGCGCTACTTACAGGTTGTATCCTGCAGAAAAAGAAAAAAAAAACACAGCACCAGACCCAGAATCACTTAATGAATCATGGAAAGAAAGGAAAAGGGGAGAAAGGGAGAAAGGGAGAAAAGGAGAGGGTGAGTCAGGGAGGGGGAGTAACATCCACCATTACGGACACCTTCTTGGGGAGGGGGGGGGGGGGGGGGGGAGAGAGAAAGAGAGAGAGAAAGAGAGAGGTGGGACACTACTTACCTCCTCCTTCGACCAGGGACCACCATGTCCACTGATGAAGCACCTTGGTTGTTTGAACCCTGGAGGCCTTGCATTACCCGCTGAATCTTCCCGCTGAATTACACACAAAAAAAAAAAAAGAAAACATCCCAGAGGCAGCAAACACGAGCCTATTTTCAAAACCAGCAGCCATCACAATGGTTTCCCCCCTTCTCTATCTCCAAACCAACATTTAAAACCACCGCACCTCTGTCACTCTTGCGAAAAATGGGACAATCATTTTTGCTTTTCGAACGGGCCCACAAGGCCCAACTGCTGTTTTGCCACTTTTTCCAACTTTTCGGGGGTCTGCGGAGGCTCAGCAAATTGGGCCTTGTGGGCCCGTTCGAAAAGCAAGAAGAAAAACGAAAGACCCACTCCGGGAAGGCCGTGCACGAAGTTGTCCTCACACCAATACTCACAAGAAAGTATTTTTAACTACGATTGTGACCAGATTCAGGTTTTCGTTGCTGGTGCTTTCGTTTTGTTTCTTTTTTTTTGTTTCCATGCCCTGACAGGGAGGCACGGCGAAGTCCACGGGCTGCTGACACTTTGTGAAGGAGGGCATGCCCACACCACAACTTTGCAGAATGTGTGAACCCGCTTTCCCTCCCTAAGTTCAGTTTCGCATTTTTTTTTTCTTTCCTCTTTTTCCGTGGACCTGACACCCCTGCCGTAACGCCCTCCTCACTGAGGGCATACTCGCACAACAACTTCGGGGCAGGTATCTACATTGTATCACGTCCAGAGGGGCATTCGGTTTTTTTCTTTTTTTTCTTTTCTGTGGTTGTTACTCTCGTGAGTACGTCGTTTTTACAAAGTCTGGTCGTGATTTTTTTCTTTTCTGTGGTATCTACAACTTCGGGGCTCGGCAAAACTCGGTGCGCAGTGATAATCATGGTCGACAAAAACAGGCTCAGCGATAGCAGTGGTTTAAACCACCAGTGCGTCCTAACGTCGTGCCCATTAACGAGGCACAATTTTAGAAAACATACGGGCCACTACAGGAGCGCCCAAATTCATCCGACTAGAAACGTTTCTTACCGTTTTTTTTTCCACGGTTGATAGCTGGGCCAAGTACTGGTGGTTTAACACGTTTTTTTGCCCTCCTGCTCGCTCACACACATTCACACAATGTGGACAGTTCTCCGCCTTCCTGCTCTCTCACACACATTCACACAATGTGGACAATTCTCCGCCTTCCTGCTCGTTCACACACGATTACACAACGTGGTTTCACTGTTCACCTAACGATGGACTTCACCCTTCCTTCTGCAGTACCCGTGTACTTTTCCATGTTTTTTTTCCTACGTGAATTTTCTGACTTCTTCGCCAATATCTCGTTCGCATTTCAACTTTTCACACTTGTCCGCGTTCGTCTTCAGCATTATCCAGTTGCAGTTTTTAAAACCTTTTCTTAGTTTTTCAACCTTCGTGTCGTTAACCCAGCAGTTTCGAAGCAAGTTCCCAATTTTTCAAGCATTATCTCGTTTACTTTTCGCCTTCATCCGGTTTGGTTATCACCTTCAATTTTAGGGAAGGATTTCTCGGCCTTTTTTTCGGGGTGCACCTATACAAGTTTTCAGATTCCTGTTCCCCCACACCATTTTTTTCATATGGCCTTTGGCCTTTACCACACCCTAGCCCAGACCTCCACCTTTTCCTTCTCCCTCCTTCCTCCTTCCTCGTCTTCCTCCCACGACTTGACCTGACTTGACCTCCAGCACACATCGACACAAGCACTTCACTGCCCGTCTACCCAACAACCACGGATAAGCACTTCACTGCCCGTCTACCCAAAAACCACGGATAAGCGCTTCACTGCCCGTCTACCCAACAACCACGGATCCCAATTTCACACCTGCCAACACACACGTTTTCAGCTCCTCGATTCCTCTTCAGAATAAGCAACAAATTGTTTTTTTCTCAAAGAAAGTTCCATTGTACTTTCTTCCTAAGGGGTCTCAACTTTGCGCACCTTTGCTAAGAGGCTCAGCAAAGATGACAAGGAGCAAAATACACAACAGATCCCGACCAGATGGTCAGCCTCTACAAAACACACGGCCATTTCGACAAGCGTGTAGAGATTAAAGCCTCTTTTTAAAAAACAAACCATCGGGGGTGAACGACACATCACCGCACCATACGCAAAGAGTAGACGAGGTACATCGAAGCAAGGATTCCAAAACATGTACAACAGAAAGACAGAGAAGAGGGAAACGACAAACGAGAAAAGAGAATAGGTGGAAAAAAGGGAGAAGAAAGAGAGAGAGAGAGAGAGAGAGTGAAAGTTGGTGTGTGTGTGAGAGAGAGAAACGGGGGATGGAAAACAAAGGGCCATGGTGAGGAACAAGAAAAGAGAAAGGAGCAGAGAAAGTAAGGGGGAGGGATGGAAAACAAAGGGCCATGGTGGTACGCGGGAGGAACAAGAAAAGAGAAAAGGAGCAGAGAAAGTAAGGGAGCGAGTCGATATGACTGTGCGATAGAGAGAAAGGAAAACACGTGGCCATAATGATGTCATGACAAGTAAATATGCTTACACGCTCCTCCTCTGCAGGAAGCACAGCAGGTTCTTGCCTGGCCTCAAAGTTGACGGATTCAGAATTCTCGCCCCAGCTGCACTCCGCCAACTCTTGTATTCGCGCCTGCGGAGCCGCTGGAGCTGCCGGAATAATTTGCCGGCGATTGCTGTTTTGCGCAGCCTTCATCGCGGCAACTTTCATCGCTTTCCATTTCACCCTCAGATCTATGCTTGTCCTGCACATGCATCAAACTCCGCATAAACTTCTAACAGCATGACTTCCATCTGCTCAACAGCCAACTTTCAAAAGGTCTTCCCGCCACGTCCACCCCTTGTCAAATGTGTTTCAGAAACCACAATCGATCAAACAGTGGCATCACGCCATACTCTCACCATCTGTTGGAAATCGGAACAGGGCTGATTTGATTTGAACAAAGAGACGAACAAGATCACTGCCGGTGCAGGGAAAGGCCAAAAGAATGAATTAGGGAAGATGTCAGCGAGCATTCTGCTGAACAGCAGATTTCAGCAAAGGATTGTTTTGCATACCGTGCTATGCGTGCGTGAAGACCTATGCTCAGGATTTCTTCCTTCACATACTGGACGCAGGAAGTCCGAGTTCGGACTGTGCAGCGTCCGTCACGTTTCTTTGTTCCTTTTATGAAGACCTATGTTCGGGATTTCTTCCTTTCACATAATGTGCTATGTGACGTACATGCGTGGTTATGTTTGCTCCGATTGAGTCAGTCGTACCGCTGACTTCGCTTCTTCTACAAAGGATTCTGCTGATTGCCACCACGTCTTTTCTAGGAATACTCGGCAACTTCGTAGTCACATAAAGTGAGAAACCATGCACATACAATATCATCTTCACAGCAGCCGGGCTAGCCCAGTTGGCACACCCCTGAACCGCTGACATACCAACCCGAGATCGAATCCAGATGCAACCAGTTGCAGAATATAATCATTCTGAATTATCTGGGGCAGGTCAGTTCAATCATGATACCTCACAAGGTCGTTGCCGTTTCCAAAAGTACATATATCTATATATACAAACTTACAAAGTACATACATGCCAAACAGATCTGCTCGGTAAACCATAGGCAGAGAGGAAGGAAGCGGACAACAGGAGGCAGAATCTCTACATGTATTTCTTCTTCCCCAAGTTTTGTCCCCGGTCACAAAACGGACTACATACCGTACTGTAGGGGAGCTGTTCATCCACATTTTTCAAAGGGAAATCACTAGAAGCACATACACTCCTCTCAAACAACGTCCGAACTCACAGTTTCATGTTGAAACTCAGCTACTGTCTTCAGTCGGAAAGAATGCCCGGTGATGGTAGCTACCCGGAGGTGCTGCTGGCTGCATGCTAACGAGATCAGGCTCGCAACGCATTGAGACTGGCTGGTAACATCAGTACGTCAACCAAGCATACACTTACACTGCCAAGCATACACTTACACTGCGCTGCCTTGCCCTATCCCTGTGTTTCCATTGCGTTTTGAGCCTTCTGCCAACAACTGCCCCCAACGCTCCCTACGGCCACATTTAAACACTCTGCAACGCACTGCTTTACCCCAACTTATGCGGCATTGCTACTTCAAACAATCGCTGAACTACACGATTCTCCGCTGCACTCTTTTTTGGACCATTTCTCTATTTATGTGTGTCATCCTTGCGCAGGAGCCATGCTAATCTTCTGTGTATCGTTCCAATTTAACGGATCTCCCAAAGGACTGATGCTGCTCTGCAATCCGATTGTGTTCTCATCCTGTTTTGGGCTTCTATCAACACCCACCCACCCCAAACATTCCTTACAATCCGATTGTGTTCTCATCCTGCAATCCGATTGTGTTCTCATCCTGCATTCCGATTGTGTTCTCATCCTGCAATCCGATTGTGTTCTCATCCTGCATTCCGATTGTGTTCTCATCCTGCAATCCGATTGTGTTCTCATTCCACTCTTCCACAAAGCACTACGCATTGATTTATCGCAACTCTCAGGCCATTGTTACCTCAAACAATTGTTTAACTACACGGCTCTTTCGCGGATTATGTTTCGGGGATCTGTCAACGCTCACCCCTCCCGCACCGCTCCTTACGGCTGCCTCGTCTCAATTCCACGACGCACGGCATCACACCAACTACAATGCCCTTCTCCAGACTAGATGCACTGGGGAACCTACCCCAACGAGAGAGCGATTTTGGTCGTAGGTCGGTCCGACCATGCGCCTATGTCCCAGTCCCACTGGGCCTAATCCCGGCTGCAACCACTATTCCCGACTGGAATGGACCTAGATGACTGGAATGCATTGTTTCACCTTTTTCTTTTTCCAATGAACAGCGACCTGAACTGATTCCTGCATGCAGGAGGAACCCATCGGTTCTGTATCTCAACCATATTTCTTTTCAGTGGTCCGCCCACGAGGCAGGCAGTGGGAACCTTCCAGAAGATGATCCAGGAGGAGATGGGAAGAAGGCACAGGAGCGAGCACCAGGATGGGGAGTGGTGGTCAAAATGCAGCAGATTAGGGATAAGGAAAAGGCAGACAGCAGATAGAGGCGAACCGAGGACACCAGCGAGCATAGGCCAATAAGAACGACGGAAGAGAATTTCCGTATGGGCATCCCCTCTTGTCATCCCCTCTCTCCGCTTCCTTTCAGCAATCAATCCACCTTGCTAAATGGGGCATGGCACATGTGGCAAACCTCTTGACATGAGAAGATACAAGAAAACAATGCAGAAGTGTAGACGAGAATGACACCCATACTCCTGTATAACCCCCTCCTCCCCGCCCCTTCCCCTTCTCTGTCTCTCTCTCTCCCCCACCCACCCGCTTCTGAAAACGAGAATGAGACAAGCACTCCCCCCCCCCCCCCTCCCCTCTCTCTCTCTCTCTCTCTCTCTCTCTCTCTCTCTCTCTGACACACATACACCCCTGCTTGTGTGGTGTGGGTGAAAACATGAGTTTTGATTCCGCTAAACATAACCACAAAACAACGGGCGATTCTCTCTCTCTCCACCGGCTTGTGTGTTGTGGGTGTTTTGTACTCCCTAAACCGTGAGTCTGTTATTCGCTAAATAACCACAGAACAATGCAAAACTCTCTCTCTCTCTCTCTCTCTCTCTCTCTCTCTCTCTCTCTCTCTCTCTCTCT